GCAGTGTTTCGTTCTGCTGTGCATGGGGTCGCTATGAGTCGGAAACGACTCGACGGCACTTAACAACAACAACAATGGCTAATGATCGTGAATATTTCTTCATGTGTTTGTTGGCTGCCTGAATAGTTTCTTTGGTGAAGTGTCTATTCATGTCTTTTCCCCATTTTTAATTGGATTGTTAGCCTTTTTTCAGGTTGAGGTGTTGGAATTTTCTATACATTTTAGAGAGAATTCCTTGTCCAGTATGTCATTGCCGAATATTTTTTCTCATTCTCTAGGTTCTCTTTTGACTCTTTTGGAGAAGCCTTTTGATGCACATGAGAATTTAATTTTTAGAAGATCCCAATCATCTAGTTCATCTTCTGCTGTTTGTGTACCTTGGGTTATGGTTGAGAGTCAATTTATGCCATCAAGTCAGCTCCCACTCATAGTGACCCTGTGGGCAGCAGAATGACACACTCTCGGTCCTGTGCCAGCCTCACAATCCCTCTGTACCTGAGCCTGTCGTTGCAGCCACCGTGCCAACCCATCTTGTTGAGGGCCTTCCCCTCTTTCGTTGACCCTCCACTTTACCAAGCGTGACATCCTTCTCCAGGGAATGGTCCCTCTTAAAACATGACCAAAGTAGGTGAGATGAAGTCTGGCCTTTCTAAGGAGGACTCTGGCTGCACTTCTTCCAGGACAGATTTGTTGGTTCTTCTGGCAGTCCATGGTACTTTCAGTATTCTTCACCAACACCACAACTCAAAAGCATCAATTCTTCTTCGGTCTTCCTTATTCATTGTCCAGCTCTCACATGCATACGAGGCGATTGAAAATATCATGGCTTGGGTTAGGCGCACCTTAGTCTTCAAAGAGACATCTTTGCTCTTCAGCACTTTAACAAGGTCTTTTGCAGTGGGTTTGCCCAGTGTGATATGTTGTCTGATGTCTTGATTGCTGCTTTCATCGGTGTTGATTGTGGAACCAAGTGATATGAAATCTTTGACAATGTCAATCTTTTTTCCATTTACTGTGATGATATTAATTGGCTCAGTTGTGAGGACTTTCCTTTTCTTTATACTGAGGTGCAATCCATGCTGCAGACTGTGGTCTTTAACCTTCATCAGTAAGTGCTTCAAGTCATCCTCACCTTCAGAGAGCAACGTTGTG